TTATTTTCAAATTACCTTTTATTATATTGCAAAAGACAACTTCCTGATTTTTTTTCGGCATCAGATTTTCTTTTAGAAGGAAATCCTTTTTTATTCGCCATAATAATTTATTACAGTAATAACAATAACACTTTTAGAATAAAATAATAAACACGCTGAAAGGAAGCAACTTGTAGCATTGTACAGTGAACTGTGTAGAACAGCAACAATTACCAACTAATCAAATCATTATTGTCTAATATTGTACTATAATATGATATATATTATTATATTTTTCGTCCGGCATTCATAATAATATCATAGTAATAATTATTAATATTTAGTTTATAAATAAACATCGATAAGCGTGTCAACAACCAATATAGACGCATTCCGTAAATAGTGCAGTTGCTTGTGCTGGAGTGGCTGTAAARCATATTACACATTCATAAGTCAAAACGCTGCTGCTATTGCAGCACAGGTCGATTACAGAATTATATTTTTCACCATCAACCAATATAATATATTACTTTGGCATTTCTCTATTTTCTCGAGTTGAGAGAGTCATAAAACGGTGAAACAAAAAACAAATTGTTAATGACAAAATTATCTAGCCCCCTACGGTGCCATTTTAGGATATCTACATTTAAATACTTTTTGTAGATGGTTAAAATATCAATTTTTTTTAGTTTTTTAATTCATTATAATTAATAACTAGGGCTCGGAAGTTGATGACCTTAAAAACAATTAAAAATTACCATAAAAATGGCAAAAAATTACAAATATTAGTTTTATATTAATAAAAATACATTTTTTTAAAATATTTTACTCTATTTTACTATAAAATTAAAAATATGACATAAAAATGACAATAATGTCCTTAAAATAGGAAAATTAAAAAATTAAAAATATTTGTTTTATACATTTATCAATGCTTACAAATTATTTAAAAATCAAAATCATTGCATTGTACAATTAGAGCGTATTTTATGTTATCGAAAGTAAATGAACGACGATTATCTGTTAATACATTTTTATATTTGGAAAAACTTCTCTCCACGTCTACTGAAGTGATTGGGGCAAATCTGAAATGGACAAATCATCAGCACTGAAATCATCCGGAAAACACTGACTTGAAGCTTCTTCATCATTTAAAATTTTAGAAATTGTTGACATCGTTTGAAATCCAGTATTTTTGGCAAGTACGCTTTAAATTTGTTTTTTATTTCATTTCCAATTCTATTAACTCCTGCTGATTCAATTTTAATTAAAATATCTTGTACAAWTTGTATTGAATCATAAAGCCTGAGTCCTGAAGTTTCTAACTTAGTAATAGAATCGGCCAGGGTTCCAAAGTTTGCGTTAATGTAAATTAAATTATGTTTTACATTATCATCGCTTTTAAGATCCTGTGCTTTTTCAACTGACGTAGAATCATCTTTGTTTAGTCCCATAATAAAAGTTTTCAAAATTTCAAAATGTTCACAAAAATAAGTAGCAGCTTTTAACCATGTACCCCATCTTGTCAATACCGGTTGTGGTGGTAGAGGAATATTAGGTGCCATTTCCTTGAAATATTGAACACGTGATGGACATTTCAAAAATATTTTTTTGATGTTCGATATTAACTAATTTCTAGCTTAAAATAATTTGCGAATTTTCGTAATTTTTACATATGTTGTCAAAATTTGAACTTTAAATACTTATAAAATAAAATCGTGCCTATGTATGTTTAATATTTTTCAACTGCTATTGTAACAATATATAAGAAGCCTTGTATTAAATTTTCAAGATTTTCTACTCAACAAATACATTTTTATCAATATTAGTTTAAAAAAACTAATAATGATAGAAAATTGCATATGCCTAATTCCATTGAAAATAGTTCAACCTAAGTCAAAATTTTTTAAAATTGCATGGTGGATAGAATTTACTTATATAAACATTCGGTGAAAATTTCATGTATCTATGGTCATTTGTTTTAAAGTTACATCATAAACCAAAATTGATTTTGTCGAAAACTGATTGTGTGTAAAATTTTCCGTTTTTCCTTTAATTTTTAATTTGTTTATCCCAATTATTTAGAAAAATATTGAGAATTTTTGACTTTTGACCTCCTAATGTACCAACTAGATTCACTTTCTGATCTAACAAAGTACTGAAGTCGAAAATCGAAGCATTTTTACTTCCCTAAACATGATGACAGAAAAAACACATCATGGTAAAATCAATACATTCCTCGCTCCGCTCAGGATCTAAAATGCTATAATACTTAACAAGTTTCGCAATTCGGAAGTTGTTTTGTATCTCTAAGACGCAAAAAAAAACAACACATATCGTTGTAAAATCAATACACAATACATTCCTCGCTCCACTCAGAATCTAAAAGCTCATATTTAAAATTTTTTAAAAAGACTAATCTTATAACACTTGTCACAAGTCAAAAAACTCAATCAATATGCTTATAAGCATACACAACCAAAAAAAAAGTTTAAAACTTGTAATGGTTAATTGTAATTTTAAACTATGGCTACTTCCTGATTCTAAACCTTATGAACTATTAAAAGAAATAGTTTACAACAAAAAGTTTTTGACAGATTTAAAGCAAACAAAAAATTATGTACATACAGGAAGATTAGAGTCTTACCATAATTTAAGATTAAAATATGTTCCAAAACGTGTTCATTTTTCTTTTAAAGCGATGTACATAAAATCAATAATTGCTATAATTGACCATAATATTCTAATTTAAATTTWAAAAAAATAGGWCTAAATTATTTATTTTCCAAACCTACTGAAAAATAGATTACTAAAAATATTTATGAAAAAGGTACAAATAATTGGAAAGATGAAATAATTAATACAATACTGGATCATTTAAACGGAGTCGAAATGTCACCATTGAAAACACCACTCAATGTAGTTTATACCAAAAAACACCGCACCTATTGATCGACCTGCATTGGAAATAAAAATAATGCAAAATTCCCATCATTCACGTTTTATTAATATTAGTTGAATATATTTTTTTAATATTTTATATATTAATCATTAAATAACTATTTTGTATATTTAGATTGTGTTATATTAACAAAGCATTACAATATTATTATATAACAATTCATAAATTACAATGTCGTAAGGAAAAAAAATTTAAAAAATTATTACACTTGTTTAAAATAATTATATTTTATTTATTTATTATATATATTTATACTCTGATTCACAATATTGTTATTTGTTAGTAATATAACTTGATTAAGCTGGTAATTTTTTTTTTTTTTTTTGAATTTTTGAATCCTACATATATTCCATTTGGTTCTGGATATTCTTCTCTTATTTTCTGTACAACACATGCAGGCAAAACCACTAGGTTTACTTTCCCCATAGCAATTCAAGAATTGATCCAAGACGTATTCTGTTTATAACAAATAAATCTCCACGTTTCATTTTCTGGATGATGTTGCTCCAATTTTTTTTATTAATACTGTTTTTAGTTTTTAGTATTAAATTGTGGCTAGTTATATTTAGTATTTCTTTATCCAATATTAGTTTCGAAAACGATTGATGCAAAGTAATACATTTTCCTTCTTGTTCTCGTATTTTTTCTAAATTTGGTAACTCATTGCAGCATAAACAGTCGATATCACTATGCATGCCTTTACAGTATCCACAAGAACACCAATTCGAATTATTTAATCTACCTTCATAATTGATAGCCACAGAATTGTCATCATCTTCTTGTAAGTAACGGTCTATACCTTCAACGTCAGGATTAAAATTGAATGGTATTAAAGACATTATTATTCTGTGTATCAGTAGTGAGTTTTATAATGTAAATGTRTTAATATATTTCACTTGGTATTATATACGAAATTAAATTATAGCAAATAAAAATGAAACAAACSATGAAACTACGACAAACTAATGACAGTCGACATGTCGACACTCGACATTCGACGATAATAATAATAATTTTTATACGTTTGCCGATGCCGCTCGAAAACGGTCAACTCAATGACGTGTATTATTTATAGCTTTATAAGTATTTAGAAATAGTGTTATATTTATAATTTAAAAAATATTTAAGGACCTATTTATGGAAATCAAAAATATATTTAATCGGCGATCAGCGATCGGCAGACAACGAGAATATTACTATACGTATTCTTCAAACGATTTGCTGCGACCGCCTCCCAGTGCCGCGCGGAGACGTCCGACGCAATRRCGTCACAGGTATATTTGGATTTCACCGTAACTGTAAATAATTTTTTTTTTCACATTCAGTTTTCGTGATATATTTTTTTATACCATTAAGTATAAAAACCAAGTATAAAATTTTTTTTTTTGGGTTATGTATGCCTTTATTAAATTGTTTTCTATACATTCTAAGGTTATATAGTGACTATACTATGCAATTAAAAGATAAACGTCGTCTGTGAAAATTAAATGAAAAAACATTTAGATTTAAATTTATATTATAAATCACCTACWCTGTAGGTCCTACAGCATATAAAATTGTACATTCACAAAAAGTAAATTTACCAGGATCATCGACTATTYGTTATTGGATTGGTCAATCAAAGTTTTTAGCCATGTTGAAAAAAAAATTTTGATTATCTGATTTGTTTTGTTCTGTTTGTTTTGATTAAATATGTATCAAAGAATTTGTAGAATATTCAAAATAATTTGATTTTATTGAAGGTTTTGAAGACTTGAGTCATTATGGAAGTCTAATAAAATTACCAACTGTGTTCTATTATTTATGGCCAGAGRTATTTAATATTATCATTATTAATATTCCGGGGTAAAAAAAAATTTAAAAAAATKTAATACAGGATGTTCTCCACAAATTATACTATGTGATCAAGGCACAAAACATCAAAGTACATTAAAATCATTCAATGTTTCGACGCTAGACCTTATTTTTTTACCGTCAACAATAAAATATTTTATTTATTTTATGTGCCACATTTACTTAAAAGCGTTAGAAATAATTTAATCGAAGGCTGTTACATAAAAAGTGATACCAATATAAGTTCATTTGATGACATAAAAAAAACATAAGAGTTAAACAAAATCTTAAAAGAAGATGTCTCGTCAAAATAATAGATGTACATATTAAACCTAGTTCTTTTCAAAAAATGAGTGTTAAATTTTTAGTACAATAATTATTGAGCCATTCTTCTTATCTTCTATGATCCGGACTAGTATACAAACTGGAAAATTTCAAAGTAACACTTTTTCAAATACCGCAGATTTTATTGAATTTATCAATAATTTATTTGAATGTCTTAATACCTAACAGATTTTTATACAGCCAAAATTCATATCTATGTGCATTAACTAAATCAGGTATTGCACATAATTTCTTAAAAGAAACCTCACAGTATTTCACAAATTTACAAAAACTTAAAAAAGAAAAATTAACCCAACCTCCTTATTTTAAAGTTTTCACACAGACAATTGATAGWGTGTTGTAATTTTTTGAAGAAAAAATAGCTAATGATATTGTGTTTTAATGACTAATCGATTAAATCAGARTATATTAGAAAATCTTTTTAGTATTTTTCGGCAAAATGGTGGTTRTAATAAAAATTTAACTGCCATAACAATTATATAGGAATACTATAAGACGTAATAGTATTTTTTCATCTGATATCTGAAGGTACAGATTGTGAAGAAATCATAGGAGATGAAAATGCTATAATATTCAACCCAGTAAGATTTCAACGCAATATAAATTCTAACGATTCAACATTGTCTTCTTATTCTGACACAGAAAGTATTTCTAATTTATCACTCTATCCTAGGCATTTGACAAGGATACTATTAATWAAAATATAAATAATGATGATACTTTGGAGGATTGTTCTGTTTCATACTTTGTAGGATATTTAGGTTATAAATGTATGGCATGACTGTCTTTTAATTTTTGATAAGAATATACGTAGTCGTTATACCCGTGCTCGTTTTGCAATCATATTTAGAGATGTTACAATACTATCGATATGAATACAGTATCGATATTTTCTTTGGATACGAGTACTTTTTGGTATCGATACTTTGATTGCATCGAAAGAAATGTACTCGTATCGTACTCAGGTGTGTATTATCGAGATTATTATAACGTTCATTTATAAATACTGAATTAAAAAAATAAAATATTTAAGTAATTGAAATCAAATCTGATTTAAATGTGGAGTGTGATATGCGTTTGATAACAATGATACCCTTTTTCTTTGTTTATTTGGCATCGATATTTCGTTTCGATATTTGGTTCATAGTATCTGTATCCTTGGTATCAACTATGTTATTATGGTTCTCATGAACGAAATTTGATAACTTCAAAAAAGTGTTTTCACATTTTTCGTGGATGTTAAAAATTAATTAACGTAAGTATCAATCTTGTTTAATTAATTGCTTATTTTTTTATATATTTTTTAATCTAAACATTTTATTTTCGGGGTAATAAAATGCATGTCAAAAGTATACAAACCAGATCCGAAAATACAAAAATATACAATAATACAATTCATACAATTAATAATTTGTATATAATTAATAAATTGTATAATTAATTTATACAACACTACCAATCAGCAGCTATAATAAATAAATTTTAGTCAACGAAAATCCCTATACCTACCATTGCCTATCTGTCTTTTCTATAATAAATGTTGATATGAAAGTGTTTGTATCAGTTCTTAGATTATGATGGAAGCGTTGGTACATTATCTTGGCTAGTTCAGTGATAGTACTTATTTTTAAGTCATTGGGGAGTCCCCGACTCTGGGGAGACATAGATTTAGAACATACCACGGGGCCTGGATTAGTAGCTTCAGCGCTATTGATTGAAATGCTTAAATTATCGGATGTTTGGAAGTTTAGAAAGACCTCGAATCGGGGAAATATAGTTATATATATATATTATAACTATAAGGATAAATATACGTTCTATCCAAACATAGTCATGTTTTTGTGCCATTTCTAGCTTCGATTCATTTCCTCCAAGTTGCGTAGTAAACGCGAAATGATCTCGAGGTGGCCTACCACYCCTTTCCGTCAATTCCAGCGTTTGTCTGTCTTGGGTTGCGTATCAGTCAACTAGATTCACTTTCTCACGAGAAATGATACTGAAGTTGAAATTTAAAGCATTATWTTAAGCATAAAAAAACACATCATTGTAAAATAAATAAATTTATCTCTCTACTTAGAATCTAAAATGGCTGTAGAGAAATTATTCACCTATTTTCTATTTAAATTAATTTAGTTCCATGTTAGAAAGTGAGAAATAGACAATCCATTATTATTACTAGTTACTACAAAGCACCATGTGGTATGTGATATAACATATAATAGAGATGCCAGGGATATACGTTTCCTAAATTTTAGATTATGAGCAGAGTGGTGAATGTATTTATTTTAWAATGTTATGTTTATGGTTTTTTTTCATTCTTAAATATTTAATGCTTCAGTTATAATGTTGARGGTAGTTTTTGGTGGCAAATAAATCTGATTTGTAGTTTTAAGGTGTGGATACCCCTTTAGACCATATACTGCATACTTTGGTCCGCATGAGTGCGACAAGAAAAATGGCCAGTGATCCCCAAAACCCGCGCACCACAATTCGATCGGAAGTGATAAGTTCTAAAACTGGTGTTGTATGTTTTATGATCACATAATATCTTAAGCAGYAAAGTAAACTATAACATGGAACAATATGTATAATAGAAGCGACTGTCAACTTGTAACTTACATAAGAATTCTAGAGGATTGTTTAGCTTCTCAAGTGCTCCTTGCCGTTTACACCTGGGACTCTCAACGACCAATGGACAATTATATATATATATTATTAAGTGATGACACTAAATTACATTATTATTATATTAAATTGCACAACTAACGACAAAAACAACTAACCCAGGGCATGGCCAAACCACCTTAATGTAAAATGATTATAAACTACCTCAATGATCTTAATGCTGACTGACTGTCTGTTTAAAAAAATGGCTGAGGAAACGTTCGATCTTGAGCTGAGTTGCTATTGTTCTGTTTAATCTTTATATCAAGCAGACTGGGAGATGATTGCGATGGTGCAGGTGAACTACACAATTTATATAATATACCCTCATGTTCAAAAAATAAAAGGTCAAAAATGAAGGTTGGATGCCATAATCGATGCCGTCCATAAATTAATCAATTTAAATGAAACAACGACTACTACAACAACAACTATTTAGGATGACGAGTGTGATGTGATGAAAACGCACATTGCGTTCAACTACGGGAGTTACAATCATACGATAAGGTATTAGCAAACTTTGATATACAAAAAGCTCTAATGAATTACCGGTTAAGAAATATGAGAGGGGTATCGCCATCGACTTCAAATAGCCACCTTAGTAGTGTTGTATCTACTATTCAATCCAATCCGGCAATCCATATGCACCATAAACAACAATAACCAGTGAAGAAAGTACTATGGCAGATATTATTCATGCAGCTACGGTTAACTATAATATCGATTTTGGTTTCTTTGGATCTGATGTACAATTTATTATGTTAAAATAAAAAGGACGTAGATCCCATCTCACAGGGTATAAAAACATCGAATACTTTATTTTTCTATTCTATATAAGGTATCCACAGAAACTGGTGACATTAAATCCTTAGATGTGTAGATGAGAACACGGTATTTTAATTTTCTTTTTTTGATTAAATGTATTTTCTAACTGAAGTTTAAAATCTAAACATTTTTACTTCTCCAAAAGGCAATTACAGAAACAAATAATAAAAAT